TTAAGAATTTTTTTTTTTTTTTTTTTTTTGCTGTAGGGCGTGTGCGCTCACCAGACAGAGAGGGAGACAGAAAGCGAGAAATCACCCCCCAGGGGAGATGGCCATGCCGCAATCCCTTCTCCTCCATTATCCTCTCGGGATCTTGGGCACACATGCACACACGCCTGGTGTGAGTTTTAAGTCACCAGGTCCGGGACTTGAACCGCGGTTGACTACATGGGAGTTCAACGACATAGCCATTACGCTAACTGCTGGTCTCATCACCTTCTTCTTTATTACTGATGTTACATAATTCTACCTTGGCTTTCTTTTCTGTAAATGCTCTCTGCAGGCAAACATCTCAGCTTCCATGGCTAACAAATGCCAAATATGCATCTGTGGGAATTCATCTCTAAACTCTATACCAAATGTCCCAGTCTACATGTTTACCTGATCTTCCAGCAGGCACTTCATTCTTAAGCTGCCTCAAATAGTATGCATTACATTTTTGCAAGTATGTTCCTTTTTCATATATTTTCTCTTTGGTGAAAGACAGGCATCTATTATGTCACCCAGTCAGATAACCAGAAATCTAGTACATACTATTTTAGTCACCATCATAACCCCAGCCCAAAAAAACAGCACTTGGTGAACAAGGCAGATGGCTCCAACAATAATTTTTAGATAAATGTTTCTCGGTCACTCATTTTTCTTCAATGAGTACAGTTAGAGATGAAGAACTGTCGATTTGGGTTCTCAGCATCTGATATAACTATTCCCTCTTTTCTTGCCTTAGTTCAAGCCCTCATTGTCTTTCTCCTGAATTATTCTAACATTTTTTTTTAAAGTTCATCTACTTTTTTTTTTTTTTTCCATGAGACAGAGCAATAGTGAAACAGGCACTCCTGAAGGGATCTTTACAGCACAAGCTACCTCCAGCTTCATCCCCCTGAATCATGAGCACACACATGCTGCTTGCACAGGGAAGCCTTGGGATGCAACTCAGGACCCTCCCACGTGGCTCCAGTATCACGGAGCACTGTGTTCCTGCTGTGCCATGGGCTGGCCCCTCAATAATCTTCTCACTTTGTCTAATTTAACTTCTCTCCCCCTGTACTCTCTGATTTTTCTCTACAGTACTGCCAGAGAAGTGTTCAAATGCAATTCTGATTCTTTGATTTCCACATTGCTCCAGAAGCTGGCACATGTTAGCCTGTCATAATGGTTCCATAGCCTGCCCCCATCTCCTTTCTCAGGGACTTATTCCTCACCAGCTCCTCATTCTCTGTCCCATATTGTTCAGTAACGCTCTACAACATCCCATTCCTCGCCCTGGCCAGAGCCTCCATGCCACTCCTCATGCCATGCTTTCTGCTTGTGAATGTTTTTCTCCCCCAAATCATTCAGCATATACTTCATGTGCAACTTCCTCCATAAAGTCTTATCCTCACGCTCTCCAGAGACACAACTAATTCCTCTTCTACCCCCACTATTCCCTGCACAGACTCCACTGGTGGCCTTCATGAAGCTGAGTACTTACTCATGTGAATATCTTTGTACAAGGCTATCCACTCCTTGAGTGCCAAGGCTATAACTTATCTATCTTTGATATCACTATAAGTGTTCTATAACTGTTAACTGAATTAATAAGCAATACATTAACCAATGCTTCCCGGAGAAACAAACACGTGGGAACCAGCAGTTAGCGTAATGGCTATGTCGCTGGACTCCCACATAGTCGACCGCGGTTCGCGTCCCGGACCCGGTGGCTTAAAACTCACGCCAGGCGCATGTGTGTGCGTGCCCAAGATCCCGAGAGGAGAATGGAGGAGAAGGGATTGCGGCGTGACCATCTCCCCTGGGGGTAGATTTCGCACTTTCTGTCTCTATGTCTCTCTCTGTCTGTCTGGCGAGCGCACGCACCCTATAGCGAAAACCTCTCCATGAGTGCCAAGGCTATAACTTATCTATCTTTGATATCACTATAAGTGTTCTATAACTGTTAACTGAATTAATAAGCAATACATTAACCAATGCTTCCCGGAGAAACAAACACGTGGGAACCAGCAGTTAGCGTAATGGCTATGTCGCTGGACTCCCACATAGTCGACCGCGGTTCGCGTCCCGGACCCGGTGGCTTAAAACTCACGCCAGGCGCATGTGTGTGCGTGCCCAAGATCCCGAGAGGAGAATGGAGGAGAAGGGATTGCGGCGTGACCATCTCCCCTGGGGGTAGATTTCGCACTTTCTGTCTCTATGTCTCTCTCTGTCTGTCTGGCGAGCGCACGCACCCTATAGCGAAAACCTCTCCAAAAAAAAAAAAGAGAAACAAATACGTTACATATACCTCCTTGTGCAGATTCTCTGAGGTAGAAGGCAAAGGTTCTATTGTATTTCCAGGACAGACAGCCATCTGACTCACTGCATCTTTATTTCTAAAAGATAAAAGCATCAACCTATCATATCATGATGATATTATTTTCATTCTCTTACTTGAAGACTCAGAAAAATTAGTAGATAAAGTTCTTTAACCCCAAAGACTTGGAACTATATAACACTTACATATATACAAATGTTTTATTTTCATTCAAAAGAACTCAGAATTGCAATATTAAAAAATGTATTTGGTAAACCAATGAAAGAAAAAAATGCTTACCTGATAAAAATGATTTTTACTTTTGAAGGGGCACATTTAATGATTGAAGAGGCATTCTGATGACTTCTTCCATATAATATTTGGCCATTGATCTATGAGAATTAGGTTTCATTAGATGGGCTTAAAATTGCAAATATTTTAATTATCCTAGCTAGCTAACACAGAGCACGTTTTTTTCTTACTTTAAAACATTACATCTATTTTTTTTCACTAGAATATAACCTGGATTTTGATGGTAAATAAGGAAAGGTCATGTTTACAGTCATCTTTACAAAGACGTGTATGAAGGCTGCTATTCACACTTACTGGTAAAGAGGCACCACTAACATCAACTGTGGAGAATAGACAGAATATTTCCTAGAAAGCACTGGGCTCCCAGAATGCTTAAACAAACAAGGATTTGTGGAAACACTTGTGATCTGCAAAGACCATTCGGCAAAGTTCCCTACAGTCACATCTCCCAGTTAGTCTCAAAACTCAAGGCCTGGGAATAGACACTGGGAGAAGAAATGATGGGTACACTGAAGATTTAGGCAGCATACTGTGCTTAAGCACCCCAGGATCTAACAAAAACTGCCATCTCAGCATCTAATAACTGCTGACTGAGCCTCCCTACCCCTATTAGGGATTCACCTCTCCATTAGGGATTCATTGTCCATAATGTCCAGCCACAATACTAGGGAATGATTGATCATTTAGCTGTTTAAAAACTCCTAATAAAAATGCAGCATACACACACACACACACACACACACAATTTTTTAAGTGTGATCTTTATTACTGTCTTGGGGCAAGATTTTTCTGATACTCAATAGTCATGACCTTTTAATGGGAGTTAATGGAAACATGGACTCTACTTAGTAAAGATTTGGTTTTTAGCCAGAGTTCCTAAAATGCATCTATTTTATTAGGCAAGTGATAGTTTTCTCTGTAACTATATGAAGTCTAGGAGATTCTCTAGAAACTGGTGATTCCACTGCCCTAATACAGCAAGATTAAATTCAAAGCTTTCCAAAAGAATTTACCTCTAGAAGCTCATCAGCAATCTGCAATCGACCATCTCTCCCAGCGGCTCCATTTGGATCAATCCCCACTATAAAGACACTCATCCTGGATCGGTCTTTGTTCCCAGCAAGGCTTAGACCCAGACCACTACGACCTTTCTCTAGTTCAATCATATGTAGCTCGCCTGTTAGGGTTCCATAACGCTCTCTGATGCTTTCTACACACAACAAATGTAAAACATACAAATTAAAAGTTCATTCACAGCCAAATTGCTTTACTATGGAAGACTAGTTTTATCTCAAAACAGCATTAACCAAAAGGTAACCTTCAGCAGTCAAACACAAACTAGAATGGCTATCTGGGCATCAGGACTGCTGTCCCGAAGTATCCAAACTTTGAGGAATTTCTTTGCATACACAGTGCAGACAGCATAGTGGCTGATTAATCAGTTCGCCTTGAGGTTTCAGACCCAAGAAGAGGGATTCATATTTTTAGACTCTTGAGAGATTATGATTAAGCCAGAAACTTACTTTATCGTTTGCAGAGAAGAACTGAACTAAGGCATCCACAATGTCTGTGTTCACTAGTCTGCGGGAGCTTTGCTCCTGTAGGAAATCTACATTGTCCACACTGTCATATCAAGTTGTTGCTTGCTACATATGTGCAGAAATAGGGGAATGGATTTTCTTATTGCATAAAGCCATCAGGCAGGACAAATCGATGGACCTATACCAGCTTTGGGATTCATGCCCTATTTAGAGAAACTATTTATATGTTCTACCCACATCTCTGAGAAGTGGAGTTTACTGTTCACTTCCTTCAATCCAAGGATCAGACCACATGTAGGTCTGACCTCCAGTCACAGCCCAGTCCACGGCCTGAGATGAGTGACCAGCTAGCAGTCAGCACTAAGAACTAACCATGAGTGAGCTATGCTGGATGTCCAGTTCAACAGAGTCCAGGCAGCCACTGCACCTTGATAGGTTAATAACAAATTGTTGTTTTAAGCCATTAAGTTTGGGGTGGGTTGATAACAGAAACAAACATTCAAGTTAACATCTTCCTAAGAGTATACTCTAGTCGCTTTTTTTGGATTAGCAATATACTTTTGTGTCATTGACAACACACCAGGAAAATTGTAAACTTCACCAATAATCTCTTAGAAAATATTATAAGGTTACTGTCATGCTTCCACATTGATTCTTAACTGCATTAATTTCAAAAACTGCCATTGTCCGACTTTTATATTTTGGGCTTCCTAAAGGCCTCTATTATTGCTTTCAAGAAGGAAATAATTAGATGTTTTAGAATGAAGCTCTTAAAACAATGACACTTATATGGCTTTTAGTTAAATCTTTAATATTTCCCTATAAAATGTTCAATTTCCTTAGAAAACACAGACACCCCATCAATCTTAATAACAGCTGCCTTTGAATGATCCCTGTGTACCAGGCATTGTACTTACCACTCTTCAGACCTTATCTAACATAATGTTAGCATCCTGAGAGAAGAACTGTATTTTTAAAATGGGCTAACACTTAAAGGCAAGAAACAATTTAGGAAATGCCCAACGATCTTATCTCAAGAATTAAACTATGCCACCACACCATTATAGAAAACACAGAAACTCAACGTGTGATAACAACATCTGATTTTATAATTGAGAATCTGAGGCCTAGAAAGGGGCAATGACTTGTTCAAAACCACAGGGTGGCAGATCCACCAGCATCTGAGAGTATGCCCTTCTTTCCTTAATGCCCCTACAAAAGGCAAAGCGGGCTTTAATAGGAATGCACATGTAAAGGAAAGGATGGACATGATTTCATACCTCAGGAATGGATGTTGTACTCAAGTCAATCAAACAGCATTTTTTTTTTTCACACAAAATTGCAGTATGTACCACTAACGCTGAAACATACTTGTTTGTGAAAACCAGAGCTATTCAAATACCTCCTATAATTAAGTGCATCAGAAAAAGATGACTTACTCCAGCTGTAACCAAACTCATCTTCTTTGTCCAGGTCATCTGTGATTTTGCTTGCGGAAGACTGTGCGTGATCACTGCCCGTTTCTTCAAATGCTAACGTAGGGTGTGGCAACACGTTGCACAATGTCGTCTTCTCTGGCTCTGACTCTGACTGACTGGGCGCCTGTGGGAACAAGAAGAATGCAGTTGGCAAGTGCAGCCAGGGGAAGGAAACTTTAAAGAAAAGGAATAAGAGGATAGTGCCAGAAACAAAAAAGCAGTTCAAAATATCTAACAAATAAGGAAAAGCTCACATAGACAAGGGGGTCTTCAAAAAGTTTATGGACAATACAAATTATGAAAAAACTGTGCATAGATTTCATTTTTTTTTCTTGCACCAAAATAAACTTGTGCTTTAATTCCATTTTATTCCATAAACTTTTGAAGTCCACTAGTCCGTAAAATGTTCGACAGGATTCAGGTAAAGTTTAAATATATTAACTGAGATAATATGAGAGCACGATTCATTAAACTGTTGTTTGCTATTTTAAGCCACTGAACTATTCAATTTGGAAGTGTGAATGACTTAAGATAGAATATTGCACCAACATCCCTTCTGGAAAAAAATTCTCATTCCAAAGTTATCACAAATATGAAGGGGTACAGACAAGAGTTGAGGGTGTCTAAAACGATCAGTTGAAATTTTTTAAAAAATTGACAAAGAAGTTGCCCTCCAAAGTTTGTTAGTGAGACTCTATTTAAAGAATTTGTATTGCTACCTGAATCCTCTCTCCAAATGTTACTCTCAATAAGTCCACAGGAACTAACACATGCAGGCTTGTCTACCAGGGAAGCTGGAATGTTAGCACATAGCACATGGTCTGCGATCTAAAGGGCGTGGTTTACAGGGACAACACCATCTTTCTCTTGTCAAGATGGTTCACATGATGAAAAAAAATAGCATACAAAAATACTTCATACAGAGCCAAAGTGTGATATATTTACTGTAACTTAGAAGAACCATAGGTCCAGTTTCAATAAAAGAGGACTTGGTATTGTCAAGTACTTAAAATACCAATTATCAAACAGAATGGTAAGTAGATTTTATTCATTTGCAGAGGAATAAACCTTTTGAACCTGAGGTCACGAGAAGTGAAAGATTTTGTTTGAAACCACAGTGTACTAGAGTTCTTGCTTAATGTTTAATTCAATGCACTTTCCATTATATAACGTTCTTTAATTTCCGTAGTGAGATAGCCTCTAACTCAGGGATGAGAGACACCAGCTAATGAACCAACCACTGTATGTCGCTGACCCTGATGCCTTATCCTAGCTTCTTTTTTTAAAACTTTTTTCCCATAAAAATCCCTGTGACCAAACTTGTCATATTTTATATGTATATATCTAGAAAAATGATATAATTTTTAAATAAGTCTGTTTGTTAGAAAAACGCACTGAATGACAAGCATGCATAAATATTTGGAAATTATTAATTGGTGCCAAGACTCAGAATACCAGAAACGTATCTAACACTAAAACTACTTGACACTGAATGTGATCTTTCTTTGATGATTTTGAAAACACTTAATTCTGGCAAAGCAGAAGACTGGCTGACAGAGACTTAAGGGCAACAGATTTTCAGGTTACAGAATCTGCTGTCTTAAAATGTTTGGTTTATACACATCATTGCCCAAACAGATAAAAGATACTAGTACAAATGTAACCCTTGTTATCTTCCCAAATGCTGTGCTTCAAATCTCTCAAATTAATAACGTACAAATATAAAGAACTACATATAGATATAAAAAAACTTCATCTGATCTAATCAAGGTTAATTTATCATGCTAATAGAAGTATATATACTTCACAATTTTTCTGGTTTAAATAAATAATTACTTCTCTGTAACAACAGAAAAGAAGACCAAGCATGAATTAAGTATATTTTAATTTTAAAAAGTAAAATAGAATCCTTTTTCACTGCCTAATTTTAAAAATCTATGAATATACATTTCAGAGATCTTGCTCATAATTTTTCTGAGCTGTCATTCTTCTTAGGAACAAACAAGCAAAACCTTTATCTGAAAAACTGGTCAAGATCTTAGGCACAGAATTTTCACACCGTGAGTAAACAAAAAGCTGTCAAACCTAATCATAAAACTAAAATAATTCTGTATTTACTCAGGGGGCAATTTTACTACCCTTGACATTCTCATTCATACCAAGATCATGTAACTGGGTTGTCACTGACAGTTCTTAAAATGCATTAGTGAAAATACAGCTCTTTAACAAAGATCATTTAGCCTTCATTGGCAAAAATGCAAAGTGCACTTGAAATCACTCTATGCTATGTCTGTAAACATCAAGTACGACATATAACACATCCACGTATGAAGATTTCACACTGAGACAAACCTTAAATGGTGTGGGAGCAAAAGGGTTAGTTGGGGAACAACGGAAGGTAACTTTACTTGAATTCTGTAATTCCTACAGCAATAGAAAACATATTCCTTCAGACAGAGCATCTTTGGTTAGCCATATTACAACAACATGAAAATCCAATGAATATTCATAAAATGTTTCCTGAAAGAAATTGTTGACAGCTTTTTTTTTCTTTTCATGATCAAATTATAGTATATAAGCTTTTATAAAATTTAGTTTAATTTTGGTTTTATAATTTCATCAGAGCATGAGAATATCCAAGTATGGATGTACAAGCATTAAAACAGTTACATTTCCTGATTCAGGCATTTATATGGACAATCTTTATGAATATTCAACAGTCTCCTATATGTACACATCTACAATTATTTGTAGAGTGATTAACACACAATAGAGCTTTTATGACCACCTTGTAGAAGTCTGAAAAGGCTTTAAACCAATACAAGTTTTTAAATAAATTGCATGTGACAGCAGTTCATACATTTGGCAACTAGCATATTTAAATATCAGAGAATTTAAATTGTACCCAAATACAAGAAAGGCACTAGACTCATGATTCTCTTTCACTTTTCAGAAGGACCATTTCATTTCAGCTATAAAAATACACATTCTCTGACAAGAAAATGAGCTTAGGAAAGGATCTGCATGCTCACTTCAAACACACAATTGTTGGGTGTTTTCTTCCTGCCCGAATGGAGTACACGGTGACCTGGGACAAAGGCACAGTAATAACAAAGAACAAAACATGTGCAAAAGGCAATGGCAAGACAATGGGCATTATCCAACCTTGTCAGCGTTGAACAGTAGAGAGTCAGCAAATGGGTTAGTGCTGCTGAAGTTGTGCTTAGGGTAAAGGTTGTGCGGCAGGGAAGGCAAAGGGGATTTCTAAAAGGAAACATAAGAGGCGCTGAGCGCAAAAGAAATGTATGTAAAACAACTCAGTTTTAACATCAACGTACTTACTGATTTCAAGAACTGCCTTCTGAAACTAGATCTTTCCAGATCTATCAATAGTAATGAATAGCAACTTTCCCTTAAATAGTCTGGAACTAAGGGTTTGCCTCTAATTGACCTGAATTTACACCAGAGTCTAAATCTGTCCACACACCACACAGGAAATTAGCTTATTAAATTGACCCCAAATTTCTTTTATTTTCCCTGAATGTCTTATCACAGATGGCACGAGTATCTTGCCCACATTCTATATTAATATATGATTCATGCACGTCAGTGAACATTTCAAAATTAAAACCACAAAGTTTTTAGTCACTTATATTTGAAAGCTAATTATGTTATATTTAAAAAAAAATAATCTATCTGTTCCAGAAAGCAAATTAAACATTTGTCTGCTAGTTCACTGGCACCTTCTTTATGCTGTTATTTAGTTTCCCAGTAAAATAGTTTTTCATATTTTGACTATCTATTAAGGCTACTTTAGAACAATCATATTTTTTATTTAAAAAAATAAAGCCAACAATTTGTGAAGAAATGAGAACAGCACTTTGGTGTTTTCTTACTTCTGCCCAGTTTGAGTTGAAGTTGGAACACTGAAATTCATGCTTTAAAAAGTGTCCTATAAAATTTCCCATATTATTCAGGAATTTATAAGGCTTTGTGTAATATTTGAAGTCCTGCCTTAGAATGTTTCTCATAGATTTTGTAGCTTGCCTGTAATATGTCTTGAGGCAGGAAAGTTAGAGTTGAATACACATATTAAAGGCAGGATGACTGCCAGATAGAATTTAGCCTTTTCACAGCCCAATAAATAAATTAATAAAATAATGAAAGAAATTTCTTTAGCATTATAAATTCTTCTCCTTTTTACACTGCTATCTTTTTCTTTTATTGAATATATTTTTCAGAAGAAATGGCCGACATTTAAAATTCATCTTGGCTCCAATGAAATGTTTGTGTTACTCCTCTCTATAAAAGAAGGCTCACTGGCAGGCATCAAGTGCAGAGAGAGGTTGTCATGTGACATCACCCTAAATGGGAGAACACTGGAAAGACTGTGCAGTATGCCTACACTAAAGCTTATGCCACATTACCCTTTCATTCTGCTCTTCTCGCAATGTTTTTCCTACACAGGGAAAAGGGGTGGGTTGGGGGAATGGGCACAATGACATTTCTGCTCAGCTCAACTTTCTTTCCGCTTTTCAGTTTAAAATGTCAACTCTTGCTTTACAAAAGAGAAGATCACAAATATGAGGAACATGACCATTTAGTAAGGTAGAAGTAATGACTGGGCACAGATGAAAAACATACCGTCGGCAAAAGAATTCCATGTTACGGGGATGGAGATTATTTTGAATCCTTGTACATAATATTTTTAGGTTACAGGTGTCTTTGATAATTCTATAGAATGACAGAAAATTAAGTATAATGGAAAATGGATTACTCAAAGAGAGTTCTACTGATAATTTGGGAGGTTTTGTAAATTTCTTTTTATTTTTTTTCATTCGCAGATTTTAGAGGATTAGGATTAGAATTTGGCCCTGATAGCAGAATGTGAAAGTACAGCATGAACAGAGCAGATGAAATGGCATATTGCTCTATTATTAGGAAAAGACTTATAAGATTTATAGAAACAGATTACATTTTTTATTAAAAAATCAGTGATGAAACTTCTGATTGTAGTCCCAAGGGCTGATAAAAGCAGAAACATTATTAACTAAGAAAAAGCACATGAGGCAAAGACATTCTCTGGCTCGTATTAATGGGGCCCACCTTTCCACTGTATTACACAATGTGGTCACACTACATTTTGTGAAAGTTTATACTTGTGAAATTATCAGGGTTAGTTCTGGAAAGTTCTGATTCTTAAGCAGCCTAAGGAACAAAGAGATAGAATGGCTTTTCAGCCTGTGCATAAGATTTTCTAGCTGTTTTATATTATATCCACAATAAAAACATTTATTTTTGAGACTGTTAAGTATGTGTTTTCGTGATATTTTTTTCTTTTCGAATACTGGAGATACAGTTATTTCTATAGGGAAGTAAATCACTGGAAACCAAGTAGGTCTCATTTCAAATTCAAAATTAATTCTAATTTTCCAAAGCAAAATGTATACAGCTTGACCAAATGTGCCATTCTAAGCAAGATTTATCCTGGAATAATTGTATAAAATTAGGTGTCATTGTATCTCAAATAGTAATAGAAGTGTTTTCCAGGTGTATGAGACAATATTTTCTCAGCTCATTGAAAATGTGACTAGCATTGGAAAAAAAAAAGTTTGTATTGAGTAGTTTAAGGTTTTAAAGTAATATTAAGGATCCCTATTCAGCAGCTTACAGTAGGGTCCCAAGAGATGTAAAGTTTGAAATTAAAAGTAAAACCTAGAAAGGAATACAACCCACCCCCCTCATACACACAAAAATAGTTGCAACTTAACTTCAACAGCCATTTACCAACATTATCATGCTGTGTCTATGTTTAACACAACAAATGGAAACAAGTGTAAAAAGATTTGTAGTTATTTAAACAAACTGAATGGCATTTGTAAAGAATACAGCATGATGCAGCCCTACCATTTGGCAGATTTTCTATCTGAATGGATAATTATTACCTAACAATAAACAACTGAATGATTAAAAACTGCAGATGTGAAGATAAATGCTTACATTAAGAACTACAAAAAATCCATTCCTGAAGGTGAACCCAGGCCAGAGTTACACCTGTCTTCACAACAAAAGGAAGTACTAGTAAAATAAATGTGGTTCCTCTGTATTCCATGGCAGAGAATATCGATGCTACTTTCACTGAGCTCATCTACAGAGCAGTTAGCAATTTTCCTTCTGTCATTTGAGCATTAGTTTCTTAAATCCTTAACTTTACAAGTTAAAATTCAAGGTATTTTATAGATAAAATGGTATGTTTTAGGTTTTGCACAATGCTTTTAACTTCTCTCACATATGTTGACATTTTTCTTTTAATGACAACCCGCCTTCAAAACTAGTAAGCTGAGAATTCAGAGAGAATCAGTGTGACCCAGGCTGTTAACTCAGATCCAGAAGTAGAGTCTCTAAGGATGTCAGGACATCTAGAAAACTCCTGACATGGCAAGCAACTTTTAAGTGAATGCATATCCTTCTAAGGAGCTTTCCAAGGAGTAGGGAACCCAAATGTATTTTATAATTGCTGCATAGAAATATATTTGCTTCAATTGAAACATAAGAAATAGAAAAAAAAATTTAAACTGCTGGCATAAATGTTCTTCAGCATTATTAGGACCTAACAAATACATGAAGCCTCACTTCATATCTTTTCTATTAACAACATCACTAAATGTGCTCATATTTTCTAAAATATATTTAAATCCATTTTACCTATGATGTCTAAATAGCATTTATAAAAAATGCATAGGTTTTTCCTTTCAGGAAGACTGTTCTTTTTGCACAAACTACTATTGTCTTTAAAATGGGTTAATAGGCTTCTGCACACCAGCATTTATCCAGTAATAAAGAGTTTCATAGTGGTTGTGCTTGAGAAATAGCAATTATGAATCACTTACACAGAAACAAAAATCTACCCAGTGGAAACTTAATGTTCAGTGGGATGTAAACATGTTGGAGATCACTCACAGGTGATCATGGGACTTTATCAGCAGGAGACACTGTCTAGAAAATGAAACCCCTGCAGCATCTAAGGGACTCCACTAAGGATCATGGACTATTAACCTGAATGATGACATCGCAATCCACTTAACTTCTGTATTTTGTGACTATAATGAACACTAGTATTTAACCATCTAGATACTTAAGGCCACCAATATATCTTGCGTCTGTATGTTTTTAACAGACTTCCAGTTTTCACTACAAATGATAGAAGGACTTTTTTTTTTTTTAGGATAACTCAATTTTTTAAAATGAGAATAAAAGCTTTTGAAAAGTCTTCTGAAATCTCATGAATTGAAATCTTTGCTCATACAGACAACTTGGCCCTTGATACATGAGATTCCAAGTTGAACAGATTGGATATGCCTACCTTGCCCTCTGTGTTCGCTTACCCTTGGTCTGTTTATAATGCTCTGTACCATAAAGACTACAGGGTTGCCTGCTTTCCGAATGGCTTCCACAGCTTGTTCGTGGCTTGCATCTCTGAGGTCCATTCCATCCACCTGCAATGGAAGGCCTCAGCTTAACAATTCAAGAAGCTACAGAAAACAGGACACTTTGTGGATCTAGAGTGTTGGGCATCCTTTGTTGGGTTCCCAGAAAGTCTGTTTCAGTATCACAAATAATTGAGACTACTGAACTTCTCAACTGTACAGCCGCGGACTTGGGGTACCCTAGTTTAGACACAGATTCCTCCCTCCAGTAAAGTAGTGGAATAGTAATAATTAAGAATAAAGATTCTGCTTCTGCATTCCCTAAACTGCTCAGCTGTTCCTCTAAATTAATACATTAATATCATCAAAAAATAATATAAGGGAACTACCCAGCAGCTCTACCTTCATTATCAAAGTCACTGTATAAATTTTCTTCTAATTCAGTATAGAGTGGTTTGTAAGTAGGTGCATGATGTCTTAAATATTTCTCTAAAATACAGGGAAACTTGAAGCTACAAGAAATTCTGATATTTAGAAAAATCAGATTATTGTAAGGTTAGTTTTGCAAAAGAAACTTTGTAGTAGACATAATAGGGAGCTGGAAGCCAAGAGATTACTTGTTAGTAATTCTTCTATGAATAGCTTGAAAATGAAAGTTATTTTATATCTTTTTATTGATCATAGCTTGCTTGGGTGATGACCAGCATAGCTTACATACTATATGTATAAGAAGGAAAGTAGTTAAAAAGGCCAAATGCTAATCCTGCCAGAAAATGATAGGACTTTATTATAATTTCCAATCACTATGACATGATACATACAACAAAATAGCAAACTCAGAGTGGATATGATTCTGGAAAAGAATATTAATTATTAGGTTTTTGCATAGAGTATCATTACCTTTAAAGGAATTATATACATTTCATTGAAACCTTTCCGAGGAATGACATAACAATGTTTTTTCAGTGCACATTAAAAAATGTCTTCTCACTTTTTAGTGGACAAAAAGTCAGTATTCGCATCTATTATATATTCCATTAACAGGAAAATTGAACGAATGTTAGAATCCTTTGCTCAAGTCCAAGAACTTTAGAATCAGTATGGAACACTTTGCAGGTCCTGCTCACGTAGTCTACATTCATTTTTTGGAACTCTTAGCAAAGTCATGTTTTAGAATCCTCAGAATTACAGAGCCCTATGGCTTTCTTATTTGCTGGAAAAGTTCTTGCACATAGAATACTCAACAGATCATTGGTGAATTGCACATGGTATTTTACAACACAAAAATTGTCCTTTCTTTTGAACTTGACTTTAACTCTCTTAGTACATTCAAACAACATTGAGGAGCAAATTGACCTACCCATTCTAAAAATAATCATGAATATTTCCTTCTTTTTAAGTCAAAGATATTGAATAGTAAAGTGTGCATAAAATAAACTTTCTAGTGATAATATAAAATTGGAGATTTTAGATAGTACTTTAAATTTCTTTAAAAGGGGATGAAGTTATTATCTAATGAAAGGTAAGAAGGCAGGAAGAAAGCGAAAGCCTATCATTCTTCCTTATAAATGGTCATAGGGGAAAAAAGGGGGCATGTTCTTTACTTTCTCTATGTCTCGACCTTCTTTGGTTCTCAGAAACAATTAATCAATAAAATAATAAATAAAAACATCCTAAAAATATTCATTTTGACATCGTGATTGGTATGTTATAACTTAGTTCTAAATACTTAAGGCATTTTAGTTTGTAAGTTGCACGGATTTAGAAAATGAGAGATGGTCACTTGTTCAAAGAAAATATAATGAACCTTAGTAATAAAGTTATTTTATTTTGACATTGTCTTTTAGTCTACTCTATAAATTCTAAAACTCAGAAAATCTGGGTTGGGTACTGACCCCTTTAAATAAAATTATGCTTATTCTGATCAAATAATTTATCATGCTGGTTCTGAAGTGACTTGATTACTTCTTAAGTCTGTCCCACTTGGCAGGCAGGCACAGGGCTTGGTTAACTGTGGGATGCCCAGAGCCTGTAATAGCACCTGGAATGCGACAGCTGCTCCAGGATATTTGAGCAAATGAGTGAGTGACACAGGAGAGAAGAGTCTATTTAAAATATTGAAATTTGCTTGAAATTAAAGGACTAGGTAAAATTTGACCACACACTTCAGTTTTGCACATAACAATATACATGTGTACACACACATGCACACACACACACACACACTCACAGAGCCACCTCCAGTAAATTGGGATAGTGCTGAGAAAAACAAAGATGATCCTGGCTGGGTTGAGAGGGAAGAATTTATATGAAAGGTAATCAAAGTGATAGTAGCAAACATTTTACCAAAAAAAAACTCACTTGGAAAAAAAATCTCACCTAACAAAACATATCTACAATAAAATAATGATGAAGTATTTCTTTAAAAAATCTCATTGAGGGAACCAGCAGTTGGCGTAATGGCTATGTCGCTGGACTCCCACATAGTGACCGCGGTTTGCGTCCCAGACCCGGTGGCTTCAAACTCATGCTGGGCGCGTGTGAGTGTGTGCCCAAGATCCCAAGATGAGAATGGAGGAGAAGGGATTGCGGCGTGACCATCCCCCCTGGGGGGTGATTTCTCGCTTTCTGTCTCTATGTCTCTCTCTGTCTGTCTGGCGAGTGCACACACCCTGTAGCGAAAATCTCTCCAAAAAAAAAAAAAAAGAAAGAAAGAAAGAAAAGAAAAAAATCTCATTGAAGAAATGAATTATGATGCATGTACTTTGTGTACATTATAAAAATTATAATTAATTTTAAACCATTCAATGTTTTTCCCCAAGAAATTTGCTTTGGTCTTTCAAAGAGAACATAATTATTTTAACTTGGGGCCAGGTTTTTTTTTTTTCTTTTTTTTTAATAGTTAGTTATCTCTCCAAACATCTATCTCTACATCAAAATATACAATCTGCTGTCATACACAAAATAAAATTATGTATGGAAAGTAACAAGTAAGAAAGAAAACCATTAACCACAAACATGTTTTTCTCTATGTTAGGTCAGGTAATCAGAATAGAGATAATAATTCCTTTGGTATAGAAGATGGAACAAGTGAAGAATTTTGGCATAGAAAGCTCACTGGAGGGTACCTCTACTATCCTATCTCCAGGTTTCAAGGTTCCATTTTTGCCAGCTGGACTATCTTCAAGAACATGTTTGATGAAAATTCCCCTCATCACTTCACCGTTGCTTAGGCGACTCCCCATCCCTCGTCCACCAACAATGCTGATGCCCAAGGATTTGCTTGGTTCTCTCCAAAGTTCAACCCTATAAAAATAAATAAGATTTTAAACTCTTACAAGAAAACTGGAAAAAAAATTTTATGATTTTAAACTTGTTAATAATTTCTTGGAAATAACATGAACAGCACAGGTAACAAAAGAGACAAAATGGACAAACAGCTCATCAAAATTATTAATAAAACTTTTATCCATCAAAGGACACTTTCAATAGTGTAAAAAGGTGATCTATAGAAGGGAATCACATTTGTTAATCACATATCTGATGAGGGATTAACATCAAGCACATATAAAGAACTCTAAAAACTCAACAACAAAAAAGGTGGATAAAAATGGGCATGAACTTGAATAGTTATTTATCTAAAGATATAGAAACAGTCCATATGCACTTATGGATATTTAACATCACTATTAATTACAGAAATAAAAATCACAAAGAAGAATAAAATACTGCTTTATACCCATGAGGTCACCTATTATCAAAAAGCAGAAAATAACAAGTGTTGACAAGGTTGTAGCAAAATCGGAACCCTTGTTCACTGTTGGTGAGAATGTAAAACAGTAACAGCAACTATGGAAAACAGTATGTCAATCTATAAAAAAATTAAAATAGAACTATAATTCAACAATTCACTTAAGGGAGTATATCCCTAAAATAACTCAAAGAAGCATTTTGAAGAAATATTTGTACAGCTATGTTTACAGAAGCATTATTCACAATAGCCAAAGGAGGGAGACAAACCAAGTGTCCATCAACGAATGGATGTATAAGCAAATGATATGGTAACCACAGCTGCTCTCCATTGTCCAATATTTATATTTTAAACTTTATATTGTCCAATATTTCAGTTTGTGCCATAGGTCGGAAGTGGCAGAGAGTAAAAAGGGAATCATGGGGAAAAAAAGAAGTTGGGGACCAGAAGTTAGCATAATGGCTATGTAGCTGGACTCCCATGTAGTCGACCACGGTTCGAGTCCTGGACCCGGTGGCTTAAACTCACGCTGGGCGCGTGTGCGTGAGTGCCCAAGATCCCGAGAGGAGAATGGAGGAGAAAGGATTGCGGCGTGGCCATCCCCCCAGGGGATGATTTCTTGCTTTCTGTCTGGTGAGCACATGCACCCTATAGCAAAAAAACCTCTCCAAAAGAAGTAAAAAAAGAAGTAAAACAGTTAAGAAACACAAAATGAAAATTATTTATTGAAGATATGTATAGTAAGATCTTTGAAAGAACTAATAAACAGTGTATTCTGAATGGGAAAATTCATTTTGTACATTTTAATGACATACAGTAAATGAATGTAAAATAAATAAATTAGAAATGCTATAATATATACACAGGTCTTCAAAAAGTTCGTGGAAAGTGTATATTATGAACACTATCCATGGATTTCAAAAATTTTTGTCCCAGAACTAACTTGTCCTTTAATCTCATCTTCCATGAACTCTTTGAAGTCTTTTTGCACATAAACAGACTATTATTCGGGCTTAAAAAAAGAAGGAACTTCTAGGCCAGCAAGTGGTGTGGTGGTTAAGGGGCTGGACTACCACATGGCTGACATGGTTTGAGTCACAGATCTGATGACTTTCTTTCTCACTTCTCTCTCTCTCTTCCTGGTCAGCATACATGCCCTGTGGCAAAATTTAAAATAATAATAATAAATGAATAAAATGAAATAATTGTTTTTTAAAAAGGAAGGAAATTCTAAACATGTTATAACATAGATAAACACTGAGAACTTACTAACTGAAAAGACAAACATTGCATGACTTCACTCATGAAGTACCTAAAATAGTCAAATTCATAGAGAGAAAATAGATGGTGGTTGATGGAGATAGGAAGAGGGATGAGTAGGGAGTTATTAATGGGCAGAGCTCCAGTTTCACAGATGAAAAACCTGCAGAGGGATGGTGTGATAGCTGCATAGCAATATGAATGTACTTAATGCCACTGAACTGTTTACCTAAAAACAGTTAAAAGCAGTAATAATAAATTTTTAAATGCAATAGGATAAAACTGCATATATGTTAAGTTTTGCAAGTATTATTTGCCCAATTTATTAGATTTTGCTAGTAGTAAAATAAGGCAGTTTTAAATACTATTCCAATCATGTATTTCATAAGGTCTGGTAAATACTAAGGTATTTCTGAAGCTGATTTATTACAAATAATTATTGGACTCACATGCCAGGTTAGGGCACAGACCCAAGTGAAAGTGACATTTTGCAGGAGCTTTAATATTACAGACATTAAGTAAGTAATCAAGAACTGCAGTTACCATAGAAAAAATGGTGGCTTCTAAGCTTAGCAATCAAATCAAGGGAAAGAACATCCCTGAACACACTGTGTCAGAAGCTTACCTCTGTAAACGTCTTTCTTGCTAAGACAGACCTCATCACTAATGGAGCATCTGCTGATTAAATCCTGCATGATCTTATTCCACCTCGACCTACCTAAACTCCCATGCCTCTTTGCTTCTCCTTCTCCACTCCAGCCACTACATCATCTCCTAACATTGCTTAAGTTAGTCTAGCATGCTCTGCCTTGAGGCCTTGGCCATTGCTACTTCTTCTGTCTTGACTGCACTTTCCATACCTACAAAATAAATACATGACGTCATATTCAGTAATTGCCAAAAGCCATAAGAACTCTGAATGGACAGAAGAATAAGGGGATATGCACTGAGATGTTTGGCTAAGAGGAGATAGCATGTAAGACTGTTGAAAGAAAACATATCAAAGACCGTAAAGAAGATGAGCCCCCACAACCTGCTCCATGCTACACAAAAACGACTACACTAGATGTTAACTAGAAGACAGTATGGGAAATGTGTACTCAACACGGATATTTGAGGTGCTTCCAGGGAAGAGGAAAGGTTGAAGTAAGAATTGAAAAAATAAAAAAAAAGCCACCTTGGCAAAAAGTCTGGGATAAAAGAGTATCTCTGATGGAGGGAGAAAATGGGCGATGGGCGACGGTTCAGAACACAGAGGCTGAGACACATTTTTACTTTGGTCAGTACTTCCTTTCCTAACTGGAAATTTCTAATTCTAGAGACTATTTATTTCATTTTTTTGCTGTTTTATCAGAGTGTATGTGCACTCTCTAGAGAAAGACAGAGAGAGAGAAAGTACCCTATTTGGGGGGTGGTTACACTTCAATTCCTTCTCCCCCATTCCTCCCACCTTCAAGATTTTGGGCACGTGCTCCATGCATATTTTTTAAGACACTGGCTCAAGACTCAAACCAAGTAGCTGGCCATATGGGATCCAGCTGCCTTAACCACCACACCACCAGATGGTTCTATCTGTTCAGGTGTAAAGGATCTCACCATGATGCTTAACCGTATAAAACTTTTGTGAAATAGCTAGTTAAAATTCCATCCATCACTCATCATTTTATTACACTGTAGGAATTCTGTGAAAGCAAAAAATGAACATTTTCCACTATTTATTGAAGCAGGTCTTGAGCAAAACTGTCAAAGTGAAAAAGTAAGTTGTTACTATATGTAGATTATTTTTAAAAATGAGTTTTCATAAAAGATAGATAGAAAGAGAGAGTGAGAGAGATACTTGACAGGATCTCACCACTCCACAATCCTCTCCCAAATTTTCTAGCCAGCCAGTATCGTGGCCTTGAGCAAATGTGCGTGGCACATTCAGGCTGACTTGGGATCCGAACCCAACCCTCCTATGTGACTCCAGTATGACACAGCAATGCTTTATTGATTGTACCTTCATGACTGGACCTATACGCATATTTTAAAACTCTAGAAAACATAGGTAGGATTCATTAACTCTTAAAAAGAAAAATAAACGAATGAGTGAATGAATTAGAGAAAGAAAGAATCTTTCCTAGAGCTCATTATGTTGGTATTAGAAAGTGGTTCTAATGATTTCTTCTTTTTAAGAATTATTTAACTTTATTTACTTATTTATTAATTAATTTTAATTTGGCCGGAGAGAGAAAAGCAGGGGGAGGGAGTGAGAAAGCAAGCTGCCAGGTCCAGGACTTTAACCACAGTAAGCCATGAGGGAGTCTAGAGCCCTTAACCACCACGCCACCTGCTGGTCCTGATTTCTTAATTAATACAAAACAAACAAACAAACAAACAGCGGTAGCAGCAGACATTTATTACAGGCTTATCTGCTCAGCACTATTTTCTATTTGAGTCACACACACTTCATTAACTTCTTCCATCATTCCTATGAAGTCGATACTCTTACCACCCTCCCTTTACAGAGAAGGAAAGACACAGATAAGTTAAGGAACCTTTGGATAACCACACCTTGTACTTTCATAGGGTAGCTAAGATCAAAGGGTGCACACAGATAAGTCTGGCATGTTCAACTTAACAGACCCAAAACCTTTCTCTAGCATCCTTTGTTATCCTCTAGTATTGCTCTCGTATCACAAAGCAGCGTTCTACTACTCGTAGCACCAAAGAGTTCAAGTTCTGCTCCTTGTTTTGGTAATAATTCCGTGACACTGGGCAACTCATTTACACATTCTCTGTCATTTTCTCCTCAGCTGTGAAATGGACCTATGAGAGTCTCTACATCTAGAGACTGCTATGAAGATTAAATTAATTAATGCATGTAAATGGAAAGCAAAGGTTTGGCACATAACAATCCATAACTCTTTTATTACTAGTTTGATGATGATGATTATGATTACTGCAATAACAGAAGTAAGATAAAATTCAATCCATGTGATAAGGAAGCAAATGTGCCCCCATTCCATGGGTTCTGTTACACCTATACATTATTTACTAAGACAAGACACAATATTACATCTATTAGATTGACAAAAAAAAAAACCTTTCTAAAAAATGATCATGTAATATGGTAACA